CGTTTTGGGATACGTTAAAAACAGCACATAATTCGAACCAAATACTATCTAGATCTTCGCAAACTTTCCAAAGAGTTTTCCAGGAAACTACTTTTCTGGAAAACCATTTCGAGAGCCTTACAGTATAGAGTTACAGAATCGTCTGGCAGCCTTTTGGAGTCCAGTTCCCGCTCAAAAACTTCGACCGACGAAGTTTCTTTCAAAAAGCTTAAGTCAACTTTTCTAGACTCAATTTTTCGTTTGTCTGAACAAATTAGTTTTAAGTGTTGAAAATAAACTTCAGATAGAGTTTAGCGTTTTTTCGAAAATTGGCCGTTTTTTTCCATTGTTCGACCCTTCTAGCTTTAACCCGAAAAAAACTTCAAGAAAAATTAAAACACACATATTCTTAATCAGCTGAATGAGTTTTACCTAACCATGTGTAAAAAAGTTAAAAATCAATTCTACTATAATTTTGATTTACCGGCACCTTACTTACACTCCTTAGCGACAACATTCTCGATCCTTACCTTAATGTAGAGAAAATTAGGTTTCTCAGTGTCTGCAAGAATGCTTGATGATGACGGGTGTAGGACTGGTACATCAGTATTACTTTGCAAAATAATATTAATATTCGGATATTAGTGTTAGTATTATCGAACAATCTATTGTTTGCTTGGAAACAACAGTATTACTGCAGTAACATACGATCACTAGCGCTATAGACTGATAGGCTGCACCACAATTACCGACTGCCGTGCAAGACGTCACTTTCGATAGATGTAGCCGTTATCGGTAGATGACGGCGCAATGAGAGATAATCTAAAACACCATCGTAAAGTGGCGTCATCTATCACGGCAGTCAGTTTCTACGGTGGTAAGTGCCGCTGTTGATTGCGCGCTATTGTAATAATATTGTTTCGAATCAAATATATTATTCGATGATTTTGATTCTGCAATATTATTATTTAGTAAAGTAATACTAATATGCCAGCCCTATTTTTAACTGGGTTGTGTTGGATTATAGCATTTGAGCTAATATATGAAATTATTTTTCTCAAAATACTAGGTGAAACGGACTATACCACCTTCTATTTCCGGGTAGAGTACCATACGCTTTTTCAGCTAGAGCTGACAGAATCTACTGCTATTTTACTTGCCGATGTTCAAGTGTAAAAAGCGCTTTATCTAAGAAACTTCAAAATTGACGGTTTTGACACCTGGAAGGCTAGCGTCACTTAGGTAAATCGATTTGGTTAATATCGATTTGGTAATGTCACCATTTTACATCGGCTAAATAAAACTTATGCTGACGTGCTTGACTCTGGCTCCGGAAAGTTTTGCGGCTGAGTATTTTGTTTGACTCAGTAAATTTCTGAAAATCGAGCCTTACCTCATATGAAAACGTTCCGCCGCCTCTGACTAAGCCCACAAATAATCGCCGATCGACAAGTTCAGCTTATTAAAGTTACAAAAATGAATATCTGTTCCACTACAATAGAGTATCCATCATGAAACATTTACTCTTATTGGTACAAAACATAGAAGAATTATACATCGACACTTTGTCGCCATCAGCAGGAAGATGAATCAGAGCATTAACAAATTTTTCCGAAGCTGTCGAAATGAAGAATTATTATTTATAAGACACACTGTCTTTTATTTGCACTCGGATTGATAAAGAGAAGCAAAAATCTTCAGTGTGAACACAACTTGAACCCCTTAGCATACGCATCACAGGATGTGAGATGTGTTTTTTATACTGAATATTTTTATCATAACACCGTCAAAACTTTTGAGTTGAAACTCCTGATTTATTTTTTAGGCTCACATTACAAACACTTAAAACTCAAAAACAACACTATTGAATTGAGAACGCTGGAAAATGGCCGAGTGCTGACTTTTGGTTTATTGGCGGATGTGATACAACTGGCATGCGTCCCACCTTAATCAACAATCGGTAGCTACGGGTGTCCGTTTGCTCCTGTCAGATAATGGATCTTAAAAGAAATTTTAATGTTAAAATAGTGAATTGTTTCGCCACAAAATGACTGTCAAACTGCCAAAAATTTGGCAGTTTTGCTGAAGTTCGACGTTTTTGCAAGTTAGATTAAAAGGTCAATTTTCTTTTTTTCGATAAAGAACAAATAAAGTTTTGATTTATGAGCGGGAAATAATAAAAGCAAAAGAATTAGTTTTATCAGTAATAAAATAAATGACATTTTTTATTTATATCTGTAAAGAAAGATAAGTTTATGCTTTATGCTAGTACAAATGGAAAGATAATTGCTTTATCTCTTTGCTGAATGTGTTCTTATGTCCCATCCTAGACATCGATTCTTATATAAGAATCTTATCAGAAACGTCTAAGTCTCTTACTAGTGTCTTACAAAATTCTTATCGGAATCTTATCAGTTTCTTATATAAGATTGTTTAAGATTTCCCATCGACAGTGGTAAGTGTCTTATAAGAATCTTATAAGATTTTCATAAAAGGTTCGTATGAAATTCATAAGAAGCACCAAAACGTCTTATGAAGTTTTCCAGCCGATAGAAGCAACTAATCATAACAGAAATCACCAAAACCAACTCATGAGCTGCCTTCTGGTAAATAAAAATAACATAAGAATTTTTGGTATTTTTTATGAATTTCTTACGAACCTCTTATGAAAATCGAATGGGGAAAATTTGCTCGAATGAAGTTTTCTCGAAAGCGATATTCTCGAAAATAATTTCCGCGAAAGGCAACCTCCTCGAATTTTCCAAAAGAGAAATTATCAATATTATTTGCAGTGTATAGAACAAGAGAAACATTAAAGATGAACACAAAATAATCAGACGAAGTTTCAAGAGTTTTCAACTGCTCAGGGCTAGCGAAAATTAGAAAACGATAATTGTTATTAGATGGACCAGAATCATGAACTAAAAAAATATGATTTTTGGTTGTGACACACAATGAAGGTGGTATCGTGGAATAACTCAAGTCGTTCGGTATTCGCTAATCTTTATCGGTATGATGGCGTTTAACTAAACGTTTCAGATTTTGTTTCGAGGGTAATTGCGCTTGTGCAAGAGTAGAAAGTGCACCGAATGAATTTGTAACGACATTGGCTGGTGGTACTTTGCTATTTATTGCAGAATGAAGATCTTCATAACCTTTGGGAACTTCAAGCTTAATAGCAGTTGCAGAATGTAAATGTGATTTATTGTTAACAAAAATAACGGTATTAAGTATTCTCGTATACTTCTCTGAAATTCTTCGAATTCTTTTCATTGAAAATTTTCAGTGAGTGCCGTGAGTAAGCTCACAGTTTGATGTCCTTCCTATAATGGATTCTTATGGTGAACATATTATTTCTAAAACTATCCAGAACGACTCTCACATGATAATTGAACAACTCCTATACTAAGTACTTAACCAGTGATTCTCTGCTATCGAATATGTCGGCGATAATAAAAGAGTATGTGAAAGTAGGTAAAGTGTATGAAACACTTTATCACACTATTGTATATATGCAAAGTAAGAAAGAGACGAAAGTAATTCGAAACTCGTAGTATATTTAGTATAATTGAAGTATTGAGTTATATGGTATCAGTTAGCAGTCAAGCGAATAAACGTCTAATTATTTAATTACAAACAGAAGCCATCACCAATGCGTATACGACAGTATACAAATTCATGTCGGCAATAATTCAAACGACTGAAGTTTATCATCATATACTCAGAAAACAGAATGCGAATATCATCGATGAACATAAACAATAAGAAAACAATCGAATACTTGCCAAAATATTCACTACAATTAAGACATTGCCAGAACAGTTACAAGTTGCCAATAATCATCATCAAAAACTACAAACATTGATGACAAAACAGTATGAATTACTAATTCGAGATGTGAATTACTTGTCTCAACAATGTAATAGATCGGCTTGGCCAAGCGTGACGGAATTTCACTTTTTCGACTTCTTTGTTTTGTATCTCCGAAACCACGTAAGAGGTTGTGATGAAATTTTTATCAAATGCGCATAACAGCAGGTTCTTCAAATTCTGTAAGTTTGAGTTTAATCGGTACACTAGATCAGCAGTTATAGGAAAAATAGAGGCCGTGACTGAATTTCAAAAAATGGAAAGTTTTTTTGGGTGCTTTTGTTTGTTGTTTGTTTGTTTTTATTTCGACAACAGCAGTTTTGAAAAAAAAAAAGAGTAAACTTTAGTATTACAATAAAAAAAAAAAAATTTTAACTAACACATAAACATGTTGTCAGGAAAGCAAAAAAGGTTTTAAACAAGAAATACAGAAGCACAAGGTCTAACTGTGCACTGTCTATATCGACGAAAAAAAGAAAAGATAGTGTATATAGAATAAAGTGTGAATATATAGAGCTGGGAGACGTCTCGTTTTAATCAGAAATTTGCAGGCCACAATCATACCTCATTAAGAAAGGGTTCTGGTTATTTTTTAGAGCTTCTAAAAAACTGGTTTTTCAGAAAATCGGATCTTCAAGAGTCATGGGCCCGAACCTTTTAGGGTATTTACTACCTCACTGAGGTCTATCGATTCATGTACAAAGTACTTAAATCGGAAGTGAGCATCTCGGGAGATTCCCTCGCCAGTGAAAGATCAAGAAAAACTTTTATTACAATACTTGTTACCTGACAAGTAGAAGAAAGTAGAAACAAGAAAAATAAAAATGACCTAGAGCATGTTCTAGTTGTATCATTATCACTAACCATGCAATTTTGAAACAATAATAGCGTACAAGAATATTTCTTGAAATTGTTTTTCTGACTGTTAACAGCTTTCTTTGATTCTTAAAACTACGGTTTCTTGAATTTTGAGCTTAGTTAAACAGTCAGAAAAAAGAAACTTAATGCGTATCATCTTTCACGCTCAATTACCTTCTAACTGATATTCTTTCGATTATTTTACTTCTAATTTATCTCGTGGAACATGAATAAATAATATAAATGATGAAATATGATATTATTAAACGTTTATTAACTGTATACATATCTTTCTATTGAATGATAACATTCCATCTTGTTCCGGAATATTGACTTGTGGTTAATTGTGTAATCACATCTGTCGACTCTGTACGTCCATCTAACCAACTGCCGTCCAACAAACAACGGAAACCAATACCATTATTCAACCTTGTAACAGTCCATTTAAAATTGTTTTCAAGTGGTTTATTGGCTCTTGTCAATTGAATTTGTCCCGTATTATTCGTTGTGCCATCCAGCCAATAATATTTATCCAATAAACATTGTAGACTAATAACATCTTTTTTATGATCGTGAACCACTAGACGCCATTTTGTACTAAACAATGTTGGTTCAGTTACTAACTGAATTGTCGTTATCGCTGGTGGTAATAAACCACTTAACCAAATGAAACCTGTTTTAATATGACCAAGACAAATCAATGATATAATATCACCAGTGCAAAATACACTTTGACAACAATCATCTGAAATATAAATCACACATAGAAATTTGATTTTTACTCTTGCACAAATACTCTTACCTGTATGTAAAATAATCGGATAAATAGGATAACGCATATTACACTTATCATTTGAATGTTGAACAAACCATTTTCGTTGTAAAAAATAATCGGTTTTAAATTGATCAATGATCGATAATTTTGCTATTGTTGATATATAAAAATGTAATTTTTCTAATTGTGATAATAAACGTTCAAAATTAGAATTTTCCATCAGTGATGATGTTGAAACATCGACTGTATTTGTTTTAAACGATAATGATTTAAGATGAACGGGTAGTACATGAGCTATTATTGTTTCAATAAATGAACATGAAACATTGTTCATTTCAATTTGGATTAAAAAACGTGAAGGTTTTGATGAAACATCTTTCGCGAATGATAAATCAACATTATGATCTAAAACTATAGATTTATTGAAACATGATTTTACTAATCAAAAAAAGTTTTTACTTGTAAATGTTACATTTAAATATTGAATATTTGGAAGATGATCAATTAATATAAAAAATTTTTGGCTAAATTTAATGTTATTTTCAAATTACATATGCAATTGTTAATCGGCAAATGTCTATTAACTAATTGAACACCATTACCTGTGCAAATTGCATTAAATTATAAACTAGATAAACAATGAAAACTTCGTTTACCTTCAAATAAAACTGTTTGCGCACAACATTTTTCAAATATTTTTTCGCATTCCATATCCTTCTGTGAAACAATCTGAAGAAATTTTAAATTTTTTAAAGTATTATTACCACTGAACAATAAAGTCTCTTGAATTTGTTTTGAATGTGGTAGTGTTAATTTTTCCAAATTCGGAAATACATGATCGATTTGACTTGTTTTTACTTGTTTTTAAAATTATTTCGAGATGTTTTTCACTCAATTTGTTATTCAAAGTTAATGAACGAACGTATGCACCAATAGCGGGAATGATTTTTTGACAATAATAGTTTAAGTGTTCAACATTTATCGATGACAAATCGATATCAACTGAATACAACGATAGTACTTGAGAATAACGATTATTTAAATTTACGAATGAATAAATAATTTCAATCGATGACAAATAAGAAAATACGAATAGCAGTAATTCGTTCGGTAATTCTTCCAAACGACCCATTTATATACTAAAAACAGATCATTTATTAGTAGGAATAGAATTGTTCGCAGTGCCTACATTGTTAATTCGATTTATTTTCCAATTTATAAAAAAAAAGTTTGAAAATCGGAAATGACTTCAGAGCGTTTTATGAAATCGTGAACGATTTTATTAGAATATTGAAAATGCTTATTTTCTGCTTTGTTAAAAATCGAACTGATTTTCAAGAATTTTGTTTTTGAAAATAGTTGGAAAAATCGTCTTGATTCTTCAAGTAATAGAAAACGTTTTCTGATTTTCTCTAAAATTCAAGAATCGATTGATTTTACAGAAAGTCAAACTGATTTCTTAAAAATAGTATTCGATTTTCTCTAAAATAAAATTAATTCTAGAAAATCGTCTTGATTTTCTGTGAATCTGACCTTTCAGATTTTGTATCAGAATCTGTTGGAGTAAATCTTGAGCAGATATTTCAAGAATTCTGAAATGATTAATTTAATACGCAATAATCAGAATCTTCATTAACAGATTTGGGAATACGAAAGAAAATCTTAAACTTTATTTTCTACTTCATATTTTCATTTTTTTCTACTGTATCACTAC